CAAGGATTGCGGATCACAGAGTTATGACCTCTTCACTACTTCCTGCCAGCTTCCAACAAGCAGAGTCAATGGGGAAGCCAGCAGGAAGTCATGAGTCCTGGGTGGCTTGCAAGTAGGCCGACAGGCAGGCCAGGAGTGGCTGCTGCTGGGGGTGGAAGGGCACACAAGCAGCCCTGTGCTCTGCTGCTCCTGCCACTCCCAGCTGACATTCACCATCTTCTTCCTCCCTCATGCGGAAGAAGGCCTTATGCAGCCAGCAGCTGCCTCGCGAAGGCCAGGCCAGCCATACCTCATCAGCAGCAGGAGGAAGACAGCAAAGGTCAGCTGGGAGCAGCGGAGTGCAGGGTGACAGGGGCAGCAGAGCACACAGTGGTAGGGGTGGTGGAGTGCAGGGTGGCCAAAAAGGCAGAAATGGGAAATAAGCAGGTGGGAGGAGTTGAAGCACCCCTGCAGTCGTAAATGCAGGCAGGCTGCCAAGCGCCTTAATTTTGATCATGTGACCGCAGGGGCGCTGCAACAACCATCAACCATAACTCTGAGGGCTGGGCGTAAGTACCATTCATTCAGCACCGTCGTAACTTTGAACAGTCACTGAATGCATGGTCATTAAGCAAGGACTAACTGTACTCAGTTGGAACTTCCACAGGATTTTGATCTTCCAGTAAATGCCTCCAAGTTTCAAGGGGTACCTTAATTAGAAGAATTAGAAACAATATTTCCTTGTCCCAGATAGTATAGTGCTGTTCTGGTGCATTTAACTTTCTTGAGTATTTAGCACAAAGAAGTAAGATCTGTATTTTCACTACAGCTTGTAGCAAAATAGCCCCACTGCAATGTCAATGTCACTGTCAAATTGATAATTTCTACTACAGTGATCTAGTAGAGTCAGATATTGGAGGATGGGCCAGGGACCCTAGCCCTTTAATTTTTCAAAAGTTTTCTGGATTGGGACTTCCCATCTGAACAGTATATTTTTTTGAAGCAGGTTGGTTAAAAGACCTGTGGGTTTGCAAAGCTCAGGATAAAGATGCAATAATAGTTTGCAAAGACTTTAACCTTTGAACTTCATTGGCCCCCATTGAAGTTTGTCAGGACAAGATAGCTTCCACTTTGGTAGGATTGATCTGTATCCTTTTGGCAGAGATGCAGAGTCCCCAAAAATAAATAGTTACAACTTTGAACTCTCATTTTTTAAGCTCTGCATACAAGTGGTGTTCTTTGAGAGGTTACAGGACCGGTGGCAGTGCTGGAGCTAGTGGCATTTATGAGGACTGGAGGCATTGGAAGGACTCAGCAGCCTGTCTTTCAAGACAGCAGCAGCAGTGAATTTATCTGAGTTTTTAAAAACACCAGCAGGCAACACAAGGCTGCTTGGCAGGTGCATGTTGTGCAGGCCTGCTTTAGATGCTCTAGGGACCCTGAGATGCAGAGGGTACCAATTCAGATAGTGAGCTTGCTGAGGGCCCAGTCATTGAAGAGCCTCAATTCTCCTGATTTTTTCTTGACAAATATAGGGGTGGCTGTGAGTGAAGTGGAAGGATGAATGAACTCCATCTAATTTTTTTTAGTTTTTTTGTGCTGTGAAATTTTGCAGAGTTGTAAGTTCAGAAGCGGGTATATCCACCCCACTGAGATCTTGACTCCAGGAACCAGATCAAAAGGACAGTGATGATATGATGGTAGCTGATAACTTCCCGATATCAAGCTGAAAACATCACTGAAATTTGTGTATTTAACTGGAAGACTGATCATATTTTCATTTCTATTGGTTGCTAGAACCACCGGATGACGACAGGAATTGCCTCTCAAAGTTGTGTGAACTGAAACATACCATTCCTTTTGACTAGATGATTTGAGGGTCATGTTTATGAAGCTATGCAATATGACCCAGACTACTAGTCCTAGTAGCAGGTGTTTTCAATTGTTTTCATAGATACAAAAGGCTGGGTAGAATGTTCCAAAATCCCATGAGCCTCCACAGATGTCCATGAAAGTACAGGTGGTTCCAGAATCAGTCACGGCCTGTAGAGCTGGGCAACCAGGGAACTGGATCTTTATAAGAAAAATCAAGAGCTGACTAAATGTCTGATTTTTATAACTTTTAATTATGTATTTCTGATTTTAGTTTGTTGTAAGCCGCCCAGAGTC